GGCCGGCAGTGTGACACCCCTGGTGTAGAGGGTCATATTTTCCTGCACCAGGATGCACACGTGTTCCATACACCCCTGTGGGTGTGTATCCCTGAACTCACACGTGTATATTGGGGCCGTACACCCATGTGGACGACAGATTGGGAGCAGCGGCTGCATCCCGACTGACATCAATGACAGAGCCTGCACAGGGCTGCATGGAACACCCGCGTATTCCGGTACGGGTAAATGTGGCCCTCCGGGTGTCTATCCCCCCCCCCCCCCCCCCCCCCGTGTGCACGAGGCCCAACTCCAGCACCGTTCACATCGGAACATCGATAACCTCATATGTTGGATGACGATTCGGGGAAGGCGGATGCGTTGGTTTGGGCGGACATCTTGTTTTGGTCTCCATGGCGTTCACGGTCGTATCTCGCGTTCTGTGCTTCAGGAGGTCGGTGTAGGAGGCGGAGTCAAAGTTCGTTTTCCACACCATGATCTGGAAGATGGAAATAAAAATGAGATCTGTGATGGGAATCCGTCTACAGCAGAGGATCCCGTGCTCTATAATTATGACTCCGACATCTGGGATCCGAATATAGCCGAGCCGAGTCCTTCCGAGGATGTCACACTTCCTGTATGACGGGGAAACCACTCATTTGTGGCGGCTTGTTACCTTTCTGTGCGTTCACATCTATAGTTGTCACTCACCGCTCCCCGACGCGCGCAGCCCCTCCGCCCCCACAGCCCCTCCGCCCCCACGCAGGCAGCCCCTCCGCCCCCACGCAGGCAGCCCCTCCGCCCCCACGCGCGCAGCCCCTCCGCCCCCACGCACGCGCAGCCCCTCCGCCCCCACGCACGCAGCCCCTCCGCCCCCACGCACGCAGCCCCTCCGCCCCCACGCACGCAGCCCCTCCGCCCCCACGCAGGCAGCCCCTCCGCCCCCACGCAGGCAGCCCCTCCGCCTCCACGCAGGCAGCCCCTCCGCCCCCACGCAGGCAGCCCCTCCGCCCCCACGCAGGCAGCCCCTCCGCCCCCACGCAGGCAGCCCCTCCGCCCCCACCCACGCAGGCAGCCCCTCCGCCCCCACGCACGCAGCCCCTCCGCCCCCACGCAGGCAGCCAGCTCCGCCCCCACGCAGGCAGCCCCTTCACCCCGACACACATTCCACCATGTTTTCTCGGACATAAATGGATACCTTCAGCCCGGGTTCACACTGATGCGGTCCTGAATTTGCAGCGTTTTCAGTGCAAATTGCGCACTGCATCAGAATCGCACCCCGTTCATGCGGACCGCTGCGGGTGTTTATGTTAACAACACCCTGAAATCGGTCCACAAAACGTGGTGCGATGTGCAGAATCGGATCACATTAGGTGTGAATACCCGTGCGATCCGATTCTAGTGCGGACCCAAAAAAGGGTCCTGCGTGTTCTTGGTGCGGGTGTAATTAGTCATACAAAATGTACGGCTCCGATCGCACCGCACACAAATGACATGTGATTGGTACAGGAATGCGGTGCGGTTCCGGTGCGAATCACATGCGATATACCGCACCGCACGTATGTGATCCCGGGCTCACGGTTGTCTCCGGCGGTGATACTAGAATGATGAGAGCGCCACAAGCCTTTCATTGGTCTGTGCCGGAACGGACGGTGCGTGTGGTTCCGGTTACATCCTGGATCTACAGATGGATGGAATAGTAAATACAATGTAACGGTTCGTTGTCGCATTGTATTACTCGGTGACACAGACTGTCTGCGGGTGTCATACAGAGGAGGGGCTGCAATCTGACAGCCAGTAACGGCGGGGAGGGGAGGAGCTGGGTGGAAGATGCCTCCTAAAAACTTCTTGCATTCAGAACTCTTTAACCCTTTCACTGCCGGTTCCCTTCGTCATACGGACCCAAAACCGGGAGGGGGATGGGGGGGGAGGGGCGTTATACACAATCTGGAGGTTGCAGCCACCGAGATGGTGTATTAGGCCTCCTGCACACGGCGCGTTTTGGTGCCGCTTTGAGCCCGGGGTCACACTGATGCAGTGCAGAGTTCGCATTGGTTTCTGTGCGATATTCCTCACCGCATCAGAATCGCCCCCCATTCCTGCGAGCCGCTGCGGGTGTAAATGTTATCCACTTCCAGTCCAGACACCCCCCCCCCCCCCCTTCCAGTCCAGACACCCCCCCTCCTTCCAGTCCCACCCCCCCTTCCTGTCCAGCCCAATTTTCAGCTTTCAGCGCTGTCATACTTTGAACGACAATTGCGCGGTCATGCAACACTGTAACCATATGAATGTTTTAGATTTTTTTGAGACAGATAAAGCTTTATTTTAGTGGTATTTATTCCCCGCCGGGATTTTTATTTTTTTGCTATAGAAATGAAAAAGTCCACAAATTTTGAAAAAAAAAAAAAAGTTTTTTCTTATGAAATGTTGCAAACAAATAATATTTCATCATAAATATTGGCCAAAATTTATTCAGTTACCTTTTTAGTAAAAAAAAAAAAAAAACCGAAAACAAAATTAGTTTATAACCAAAAATTATAATTTTTCAAAAAAAAGTTTGACTTTTTTTTTTTTTTTTACATATGGTCACCCTAGCAGTACACTATCACCATGGTGACACTGTACTACTTGTGGGGGGTGATGAAGATGTTTTTTTTTTTTTCAATGATTGCTTTTACACCCATAAAGGCTGTAAAAGCAATCATTTCTCCTTCTCTCTGGCTGCATTCCTGCAGCCATTGAGAAGTACTGAGTGAGCTGTGATTGGTCACAGCTTGTCACATGATACAAGGCTGTTGTGAATAGCCCTGTACCATGTGACCTCTGTGATCATTCACAGATTTCACAACGTAGTAAGCAATGATCTCACAAGTGACATCTTGCCTACTACTCTTCATGTGATCACTGATTGGCCAATCAGTGATCACATGATCGGGACCTCACAGTGGTCCTGTACAGCGATTGGTGATCTGCTGTGTCCTGTGGACACAGCGGGCACCGAATTTCGGTGCCGTGCGATCCTAGGGAGCACTCACAAGCAGGGGGCAGGGAGGAAGTTTATAAATGGCCACCCGTTCCTCCACCCCTCCCCCCCGGCCGTTTATGTACATGGGGGTGGACGGGAAGTGGTGAAGTTAAACACCCCGAAATCGGTCCGTAAAACGCGGTGCGAGGTGCAGAATCGGATCACATTAGGTGTGAATACCCGTGTGATCCGATTCTAGTGTGGACCAAGAAAAGGGTTCTGCATCTTTTTGATACGGTGAGATTTGAGCCATACAAAATGTACAACTCCGATCGCACCGCACACAAATCGCATGCGATTGGAACAGGAATGTGGTGCGGTTCCTGGTGCGAATCACATGCGATACGCCGCACCACAGGAGTGTGAACCCGGGCTGAGGGGCATCATACGGTTTTCTTTTTTTCTGCTTCCATGTCCCCTATGTCTCCGTACACACAGACTTGTGAAGCTTTTAGTAGGAGTAGTGATTACCCGAAGGACCCCGGGGCCAGTGTGTCCGGGAGCAGCAAAAAAAAAACACCCGACGCGGCTAAACGTGCCGAAATGCTGAGCGCTGGAGTGTTCATTTATTTCATTGGCCAGAGTAAATGATCATTCTGGCCAATGAAATGAATGAATGCCCAAGTGCCTGACGCGTGTAAACGCCCCTAAAGTGTAAGATCCTTTGACAAGTGTCCCCCCAGGAGGAGTCATGAAGCGTCCCGAGTGTCCCCCCCAGGAGGAGTCATGAAGCGTCCCGAGTGTCCCCCCAGGAGGAGTCATGAAGCGTCCCGAGTGTCCCCCCCAGGAGGAGTCATGAAGCGTCCCGAGTGTCCCCCCAGGAGGAGTCATGAAGCGTCCCGAGTGTCCCCCCAGGAGGAGTCATGAAGCGTCCCGAGTGTCCCCCCAGGAGGAGTCATGAAGCGTCCCGAGTGTCCCCCCAGGAGGAGTCATGAAGCGTCCCGAGTGTCCCCCCAGGAGGAGTCATGAAGCGTCCCGAGTGTCCCCCCAGGAGGAGTCATGAAGCGTCCCGAGTGTCCCGCCAGGAGGAGTCATGAAGCGTCCCGAGTGTCCCCCCAGGAGGAGTCATGAAGCGTCCCGAGTGTCCCCCCAGGAGGAGTCATGAAGCGTCCCGAGTGTCCCCCCAGGAGGAGTCATGAAGCGTCCCGAGTGTCCCCCCAGGAGGAGTCATGAAGCGTCCCGAGTGTCCCGCCAGGAGGTCGTCATGAAGCGTCCCGAGTGTCCCCCCCAGGAGGAGTCATGAAGCGTCCCGAGTGTCCCCCCAGGAGGAGTCATGAAGCGTCCCGAGTGTCCCCCCAGGAGGAGTCATGAAGCGTCCCGAGTGTCCCCCCAGGAGGAGTCATGAAGCGTCCCGAGTGTCCCCCCCCAGGAGGAGTCATGAAGCGTCCCGAGTGTCCCCCCAGGAGGAGTCATGAAGCGTCCCGAGTGTCCCCCCAGGAGGAGTCATGAAGCGTCCCAAGTGTCCCCCCAGGAGGAGTCATGAAGCGTCCCAAGTGTCCCCCCAGGAGGAGTCATGAAGCGTCCCGAGTGTCCCCCCAGGAGGAGTCATGAAGCGTCCCAAGTGTCCCCCCAGGAGGAGTCATGAAGCGTCCGAGTGTCCCCCCAGGAGGAGTCATGAAGCGTCCCGAGTGCTCGAGGCCCAACACTGACCCACTTCTGCCTTCCTATGATCAGATGTCCAGATACAGAATATTCTGCATTTCCTGTCCTCCTTCCTGATTGACGAAACTCCTGGAAGGGCGTGGCCTTCACACATCAGGCTCCTCCCCTTCAATCCTCTTGCACAAGTTAGATGGAAATTCTTAACTGCTATAGTAAGTGTTGTCACAGCGACGAGGAAGTCTGCAACGGGAAGTACAGAGAGTACAGATCCCCACCGATTACTGGAAACCTCCGAATCTGAACACGGCCCTCATGTCACTGCTCAGTCTTGCACAGGAGTATCAACTCCCCCTGTGTACGGTCCTCCCCTCCAGCCTTGCACAGGGTGTCCGGCTCCTCCCCTCCAGCCTTGCACAGGTGGCCCCCTCCTCCCCTCCAGTCTGGCACAGGTGTACCGGCTCCTCCCCTTCAGTCTGCCACAGGTGTACCGGCTCCTCCCCTTCAGTCTGGCTACCGGCTCCTCCCCTTCAGTCTGCAACAGGTGTACCGGCTCCTCCCCTTCAGTCTGCAACAGGTGTACCGGCTCCTCCCCTTCAGTCTGCAACAGGTGTACCGGCTCCTCCCCTTCAGTCTGCAACAGGTGTACCGGCTCCTCCCCTTCAGTCTGCAACAGGTGTACAGAGTACCGGCTCCTCCCCTTCAGTCTGCCACAGGTGTACCGGCTCCTCCCCTTCAGTCTGCACAGGTGTGTACCGGCTCCTCCCCTTCAGTCTGCACAGGTGTACCGGCTCCTCCCCTTCAGTCTGCCACAGGTGTACCGGCTCCTCCCCTTCAGTCTGCACAGGTGTACCGGCTCCTCCCCTTCAGTCTGCCACAGGTGTACCGGCTCCTCCCCTTCAGTCTGCCACAGGTGTACCGGCTCCTCCCCTTCAGTCTGCAACAGGTGTACCGGCTCCTCCCCTTCAGTCTGCAACAGGTGTACCGGCTCCTCCCCTTCAGTCTGCAACAGGTGTACCGGCTCCTCCCCTTCAGTCTGGCACAGGTGTACCGGCTCCTCCCCTTCAGTCTGGCACAGGTGTACCGGCTCCTCCCCTTCAGTCTGGCACAGGTGTACCGGCTCCTCCCCTTCAGTCTGGCACAGGTGTACCGGCTCCTCCCCTTCAGTCTGGCACAGGTGTACCGGCTCCTCCCCTTCAGTCTGGCACAGGTGTACCGGCTCCTCCCCTTCAGTCCTCCACAGGTGTACCGGCTCCTCCCCTGGACTGGAATGGCTTCTTCTGATGTCACTGCACACTGGAAGCTCCTCACAGTGTGCATTAGAAGCTGCAGCCAGTCAGATAGAGCTCCGCCTCATTTCCTGGCTGGAGGACGTCCAGCATCATCTAGTGCTTTCCTTCCCAGCCTGACTGTCCCTGGCCCCGCCCCTTTCATTCATTGACTATTAGTTCAGTCATGGAGGCTCAGCATCACCTAGGTATAGCCTGCCTAGGAACACCCACCCCTCCAGACTGACACCCACCCATCAAGGCATTTTAATATTTGCACAACTCCTCCCACTTCTTACATCAGGTCTGAGGGCTCTTGGGAGGAGTAGGTGCGGTCATGTTTTCAGGAAGCACCCTACCAGCCAAGATCTGCCTGCATTGCATAGAGAAGCACAGAGACTCGCGGTATATCTCTCTGGACTGTAGAATGTCTAACTGTCTGGATTTTCATTTTGCAAAATAAAAATAAATAAATAATAAAAAAAACACCTTTAGATCCCGCCAGAAATCCTGTGAGCTGACCACTTCCTGTACTCTCTGCAGGCAGCACAGGAACGGTTCCATGTCTGGGTCTAGATCCCCAACCCCCAATGTCCCCGTCAGGCGGGCCTTTCATACGCCCGCAGGCCTGAGATTCAGGAGATCCCTGTGTAGGCAGATCATGTGATGTTCCAGCCCCCAGAGCACGCCAACACATGCACGCCGTGGCGCTCACATGACCGCACTCTGCCGGGTATTCCAAATATTTCTGACTTCCACTTACTTGTTCGTCGGATCCCCCCGAGGCAAAGAAATCTCCTTCTCGTGAAAACCTGACGCAGGTCACGGCCCCCTGTATGTGCGACACGGAGAGAGAACACGGAACACGGAAATCAGCAACTGGAAATACAACACGGAGGGATCACTGAGCACCGCGGGGACAAGGAGACCATTTCCCATAATTCCTCTGACATACTTCACATTTGTTGACCCCTTCCAGTCCGGACACTTTCCCCCCCCTTCCGGTCCCGACACTCCCCCCCCCCTTCCGGTCCCGACACTACCCCCATCCCCCCCCCCCCTTCCGGTCCCGACCCCCCCCCCCCCCTTCCGGTCCCGACACTTTCGGTCCCCCCCCTTCCCCGACACTCCCCCCCCCCCCCTTCCGGTCCCGACACTACCCCACCCCCCCCCCCCCCTTCCGGTCCCGACACTCCCACCCCCCCCCCCCCCCCATCCATCCGGGGTCCCGACACACCCCCCCCCCCCCTTCCGGTCCCGACACTCCCCCCCCCCCCCCCTTCCGGTCCCGACACTCCCACTCCCCCCCCCCTTCTTCCGGTCCCGACACTTCCCCCCCCTTCCGGTCCCGACACTTTCCCCCCCCCTTCCGGTCCCGACACTTTCCCCCCCCCCTTCCGGTCCCGACACTTCCCCCCCCCCTTCCGGTCCCGACACTTCCCCCCCCCCCCCTTCCGGTCCCGACACTTTCCCCCCCCCTTCCGGTCCCCGACACTTTCCCCCCCTTTCCGGTCCCGACACTTCACCCCCCCTTCCGGTCCCGACACTTCCCCCCCCCTTCCGGTCCCGACACTTCCCCCCCCCCCCCTTCCGGTCCCGACACTTCCCCCCCCCCCCCCTTCCGGTCCCGACACTTCCCCCCCCCTTCCAGTCCGGACACTTTCCCCCCCTTCCGGTCCGGACACTTTCCCGGACACTTTCCCCCCCCTTCCAGTCCGGACACTTTCCCCCCCCCCTTCCAGTCCGGACACTTTCCCCCCCCCTTCCAGTCCGGACACTTTCCCCCCCCCTTCCAGTCCGGACACTTTCCCCCCCTTCCAGTCCGGACACTTTCCCCCCCCCTTCCAGTCCGGACACTTTCCCCCCCCCTTCCAGTCCGGACACTTTCCCCCCCCCCCCCCTTCCGGTCCGGACACTTTCCCCCCCCTTCCGGTCCGGACACTTTCCCCCCTTCCAGTCCGGACACTTTCCCCCCCCCTTCCAGTCCCGGACACTTTCCCCCCCTTCCAGTCCGGACACTTTCCCCCCCTTCCAGTCCCGACACTTTCCCCCCCCCCTTCCAGTCCGGACACTTTCCCCCCCCCCTTCCAGTCCGGACACTTTTTCCCCCCCTTCCAGTCCGGACACTTTCCCCCTTCCAGTCCGGACACTTTCCCCCCTTCCAGTCCGGACACTTCCCCCCCCCTTCCAGTCCGGACACTTTCCCCCCCCCCTTCCAGTCCGGACACTTCCCCCCCCCTTCCAGTCCGGACACTTTCCCCCCCTTCCAGTCCGGACACTTTCCCCCCCTTCCAGTCCGGACACTTTCCCCCCCTTCCAGTCCGGACACTTTCCCCCCTTCCAGTCCGGACACTTTCACCCCCTTCCAGTCCGGACACTTTCCCCCCCTTCCCCCCCAGGCCAATTTTCAGCTTTCAGCGCTCTCACACTTTGAATGACAATTGCGCGGTCATGCAACACTGCACCCATATGAATTTTTTTAGCATTTTTTTTGAGACAGATAAAACTTTCTTTTGGTGATATTTATTCACTGCTGGGAGTTTAATTTTTTTGCTATGTAAAAGTCCAAACATTTAAAAAAAAAAAAAAAATGTATTCAGTTATCTTTTTAGCGAAAAAAAAAAATAACCCAAATTTGTTTATAACCAAAAATTATAATTTTTTTCAAATTTTTTTTACATTGTAATATTATTATTTATGTTTTGTTTTTTTTACATACTGACACCCTAGCAGTGCAGGGTTACCATGGTGACACTGCACTACTGTGTGGGGGTGATGACACTGATTGTTGTTACACCCATAGAGGCGGTGCAGTGTAACGATGTAACAGCCATCGGTGGTCGATGTCCCTGGAAATCGTTGTACAGACATCGCCACTATCAATGCGACTTCAGTGAACTCCGTTCCGGGTCCCATGCTGAGCACACAGGAGGTCGGCGGCTGAGCATGTGCGCCATTCAGGGGATGCTTCGCATTTCCTGAATGAATGCCAGGCGTTTTCCGATTGGATGAGGTGGAGAGCGTGACGAGTTGGACAGCGGCCAGACATGGGGGGGGCGGGGGGTTGGGTAGGAATGGTATGACCCGGTACCTGGTGTCCATGTAGTGTGTACAGTAAGCGTCCTTCCAACAGGTCCAGGATCTTCAGGGTGGAGTCATTGGAGGAGGTGATGAGATAATTCCCAGAGGGGTGGAAGGAGAGCGAGTTCACCACCCCACTGTGCACTGCAAGAGAGGAGAGCCGTGAGAGACCCCGCCCCCGCGCTGCAAACACACTCCGCCCTCCCGCTGGTCACCACACCAAGCATTGAGAGTCCCCACCCTGTGTACACTCCGCCCTCCCCTGCGCTGCGTACACTCCGCCCTCCTACTGGTCACCACACCAAGCCGTGAGAGTCCCCGCCCCTGCACTGCGTATACTCCGCCCTCCCACTGGTCACCACACCAAGCATTGAGAGTCCCCCGCCCTGCGGTACACTCCGCCCTCCCCCTGCGCTGCGTACACTCCGCCCTCACTCCGCCCACCAAGCTGCGCTGCGTACAGTCCCCGCCCTGCGTACACTCCGCCCTCCCACTGGTCACCACACCAAGCATTGAGAGTCCCCGCCCTGCGTACACTCCGCCCTCCCCCGCCCTCCCCCTGCGCTGCGTACACTCCGCCCTCCCCCTGCGCTGCGTACACTCCGCCCTCCTGCGCTGCACCTGGTCACCACACCAAGCATTGAGAGTCCCCGCCCTGCGTACACTCCGCCCGCCCTCCCACTGGTCCCACACCCCCGCCCTGCGTACACTCCGCCCCTCCCCCTGCGCTGCGTACACTCCGCCCTCCCACTGGTCACCACACCAAGCATTGAGAGTCCCCGCCCTGCGTACACTCCGCCCTCCCCCTGCGCTGCGTACACTCCGCCCTCCCCCTGCGCTGCGTACACTCCGCCCTCCTACTGGTCACCCACACCAAGCCGTGAGAGTCCCCGCCCTGCACTGCGTATACTCCGCCCTCCCGCTGGTCGTGACACCAAGCATTGAGAGTCCCCACCCTGTGGTACACTCCGCCCTCCCCCCTGCGTACACTCCGCCCTCCCCCTGCGCTGCGTACACGCCCGCCCTCACCACCTGCGCTGCGCACACTCCGCCGCCCTCCCACTGGTCACCACACCAAGCATTGAGAGTCCCCGCCCTGCGTACACTCCGCCCTCCCCCCGTACCTGCGTACACTCCGCCCTCCCCCTGCGCTGCGTACACTCCGCCCTGCGTACACCGCCCTGCTGGTCACCACACCAAGCATTGAGAGTCCCCGCCCTGCGTACACTCCGCCCTCCCCCTGCCCTGCGTACACTCCGCCCTCCCCCTGCGCTGCGTACACTCCGCCCTCCCCTGTGCACTCCCACACACACCAAGCATTGAGAGTCCCCGCCCTGCGTACACTCCGCCCTCCCCCTGCCCTGCGTACACTCCGCCCTCCCCCCCGCGCTGCGTACACGCCCCGCCACTCCCCCCGCGCTGCGTACACTCCGCCCCTCCCCCCGCCCTGCGTACACACTCCGCCCTCCCCACTCCGCCCTGCGTACACTCCGCCCTCCCCCGCCCTGCGTACACTCCGCCCTCCTGCTGGTCACCACACCAAGCATTGAGAGTCCCCGCCCTGCGTACACTCCGCCCTCCCCCCCTCCCCCCGCCCTGCGTACACTCCGCCCTCCCCCCGCCCTGCGTACACTCCGCCCTCCCCCTGCGCTGCGTACACTCCGCCCTCCCACTGGTCACCACACCAAGCATTGAGAGTCCCCGCCCTGCGTACTCTCTGCAGTCCAGACTGTATTCCAGATGCGTTTCTGCATGTGCGATTTTGACGTGTTTCGGTGCGTTTTTTCCCCCTTTTTCATCAATTTAAATAGAGACATGTGCGTTCCGGTGTGTTTTTGATGCGTTTTACTGCGTTTCAGTACAGTTCTGTGTAGAAAATAGACAACCT